TAAACTGGTTTACTGTTAATGTGACCCTCAAAACACTCCTAAAAGATAGGATGCTATCCAGAAGGACCTGGACAAGCTCAAGAAGTGGGTCCTACAGGAATTCTTATGAGGTTTAACAAGATGAAGTGCAAATTGCTGCATCTGGATGGAGCAACCCTGGTATCAACACAGGCTGGAGGATGAAGGGATCAAGAGCAGCACTGAGGAGAAGGACTTGTAGGTGCTGGTGCATAAAAGGCTGGACATGAGCCAGCCATGTGCACTCACAGCTCAGAAAGCCAAACTTGTCCTGGGCTGCATCCAAAGCAGCGTCGGCAGCAGGGCCCGGGAGGAGATTGTGCCCCTCTGCTCTGCTGAAACCCTACCTAGAATCCTGCATCCAGCTCTGGGGACCCAGCACAGGAAGGACACAGACCAGCTGGAGGGAGTCCAGAGCAGGCCACCAAGATGATTAAAGGGATGGAGCACCTCTCCTGTGAGGAAAGACTGAGAGAATTGGGCTTGCTCAGCCTGGAAAATAGAATGCTTTGGGATGATTTAATTGCAGCCATCCAGTATCTGAAGGGAGCCTAGAAAAAAGATGGAATGGAACTCTATAAGAGTATGTAGTGACAGAGGCTAGGTTTAGATTAGATGTTGGGAAGAAATTCTTTACTGTGTGTGTGGGAATGCAGTAGAACAGGCTGCCCAGAGAAGTTGTAGATGCCCTAACCCTGGAGAGGGAGCACCTGAGCAACCTGGACTAGTAAAAATGTGTCCCTGACCATGGCAAGGATGTTGGAACTGAATGATCTGTAAGGTCCCTTCCAACTGAGGCCATTCTATAATTCAAAATGAGATAGCAGAAGCTACTCTAGCAAATGCTATACAGCATTAACACAACATATAAATGTAATAAAAATACTTCCATTTTCTTAAGAAAACATGAAAGGTAGATTTAAAAAAACCCAGTAAATGAAGATATAGAAAGTAAATTTGTAGAGGACAAAAAATTGAAAAACATACGTATATATATTTATATGTAAGGGTATGCTAGGAAGCACACGTATTTTAAAATACTCAATTTATTCAAAGACTTTAAGTCCCCATGGTGTCATGTGGAACTCAAACATAACCCACATTCAAATGCTTTCCCTCTACAACTGCTGTTTCAAGCACTTTTACTTATCTGCAGATTTCCTTGTAAATTAGAAAGTAAAGGCATTTACCCTTGGAATACAACTATATGCAGTAATAATGTCTTGCTTTCTAGGTATAATTTTAAACAGAAGATGTAAGTAAATAAGAACCATAAAACCCAATGACTGAAAATCTGAAATTTAGACGCTAATGATTCTATTTAGTATTCATACAGAGCTACTTAGGAGTTTGCCTGCTGTATCCTGTGTGAGTACTATTGACACTTCCATGCTTCATGATTCAAATGCATAGTTATGTTTAGTCAAACATGGCTCTCACTCCAAGTTAGCAAAACTCTTGACACATACAACTTTCAAATAAATTCAGCGGGAACTGTACACCTCTCCTTCTCACAGCACAGAGGTTGATATGAGACAGTAATGAATCACATTATACTGGTTCACATTTTCACGTGGTTAGGAGGAGAAACAAACCCTTATTCCAGTGATTTTGCAAATTCTGCATAGTCAATGTATCCATCACTGTTCTTGTCATCATCTCTCAAGACATCATCTATTAGACTAATCAGCTCTTCTTCCTTCATTGCTTGGGTATGCTCACCACCTTCCTACAAAAAACAAAACCACAGTGAACAGTTCAGCAGTCTTCCCCATCTACTGGCACACATGACAGATCACTGACAACTAATTTTTTACTAAGCTGTTCATATTTGGTGCCTAATTTGGCACTAAGTTTTATGTAATAATTTATAACAATATAAACAAATTTCAGCAGGTGGCAGTTTTGAAGTCAAAGTTCTTTGGACTTCAGAACAAGCATTCTGCAATCAACATTCTTGGTCAGAAGTTCCAAAAGCTGAATACCACAATGTATAATGATGGACAACCATCTAATAAATGTATTCTTAATTAGAGTTTTGATGTAGTATAGACACTGTAGTTTATATACACTACAGAAACACTTTGCAGTAACACAGAACTGAAAAAATTCAGCATTGTAGCTTAAAGTCAGTAAAATTCTTACTAACACCCACTATGGGAACACAAAGGGGTGCCTTTGCACGTGAAACAGCCAGTCATGATTCTGCTCTTGGCCCTGTATTTTTTGCCACAGGTTATTAGCAGGAAGTTGTGCTATTCTGAATTGTAACTTCCAGAAGATCAATATGAGATAATGTGTTTGTATTGTGTTCATAATGACTGGAAAGAAAAATTGAGTTTAGGAAGAGGCAAACCATAACAGGCTCATCTAATACAAATTTTCTGCAAGACGTTTTTTATAGTTTCTGTATACACAGCAGTATCAGTCTGAAGTTGAAAACAGTGTCATATCACATGATATTTCTACAAATTCTCATGCTCCACTTTGGATGATTTCCCTTTCTCCCCATCCCTACCTGCCAAAGTAAGCCCTCTGTAAAATTATTTTCACTCTGGAGCCCTTCCTGATTCTAGAGTTAAAACTAAACTGGAAACTTCCTAAAAATTGCAATGTGACATGAAAAACTGTGATACTGTACATTTATAAATTCAACCAGAACTATCAGGAGAAAAACAGTCTTATTTTCAGGCAAAACTGTAACTGCACTGAAGATGTGTTGCAACTGTTGTGCTGCTTTTAGAGTCAGAACTGTTTCCAAGCACATCTGCCCTTGCAAAACTACACCAACCTCTTTGTGGACATGTGAGATAGCAGTAGCAAGTTCTAACCCATCTAGCAAATTATTGCCATCATAATCATGCATTTTGAAGTAATGGAGCTGCAACTCTTGTGGAGACATCTCAGATTCTGGTTTCTCGATAACACCTTCCAGGTGTTCCATGATGTGTCTAAGAAAAACAAAACCCACAACATTTCCATCAGTTAATATTTAATGCTCTGCTTATAGCAAATTTAGTCCTTGATCAAATATTTTACATCAAAAAACACCCTGGACAACTGAAAGCTACAGTTTGATACCAAGATAAAGGGGGCACAAAGGTTGGTTGTTGGAGGGACTGTAGAGGCCTCTAATTCTATTTCTTCTGGCCTACTTAGAAGGCTATCAAAACAACTGAAGCAGAGCCCAAAGTCTCTTTTTTGCTGTCTTCCAAAGCACAGGAACTGGAGGAAGCTCTTTCCCAGTCAACCATTAAGTGTTCTAGGGAGTTTTATTTGCTGCTAGAACTGTTCTGCATTTATAAAGAAGCAAATGAGAAAATAAACTCTACCTGTTAGGAGTATGACTTTGTCTAAAGTATGCTGATGTGGGCAAGCATGATTTCTGTAAGAAATTTTTTCAAGCATAAGTAGAAAGGTCTACAGAGAGACCCTCATATCTCTACAAATTTACCAAGCAAGCATGTCTCATATCTGGCTTTAGCTAATCATACAACATTCTGAGAAAACAGGGTGCCCTAGGCTTAAGTGCAACTTGCGTAACAGTTTAGAGATAAAAAATTCATTAAGAAGTAAAGTTTACACTCTCAGAACATGGAACACATACTCTTTATCTTGTACCAAATTCTTATCAAGGCGAATATTTGAATGTTGACTCTCTCCTACATGTTCCTCAGCTAGGACAGAGATGAAGAATGCAGCCATAGAAAAGCAGAATAGCAAATGTGTTCTGAACATCCTTTGGGCCATTGTAATCTCCTATAAAAAGGAAAATACCCACCCCCCCAAAAAAAAAACAGATGAAAAATACAATCTTCAGCAAATTTAGACACTGCTTAGAAACAGTCCCATTAAATTTCAGAATAGAAGAACTCGATGCAATGGAAACTCTTGGCAAGCAAAGAATAAGAGAACTCAAATTAAGAGTTTTTATGAGAGTCACAGTAATTTCCAGATAATGTCTTTTTTTGATGCACACACCTTAGCTATGCTTGGGTTTTCATATACTTTCCAGATAAAAAAGCAAGCATGCCCTCTGCTTCAGGCAAACCTTACCCCACAGCTAAGGGAGCAAAGGTCGCTTACGGCATCTAAGCGGCTCCATCTAATTAGTGGCTCTATTAAGACTGAATTGCCTAGAGGGCCGCACAGCCGTAAAGACGTCATGGAGCCACGCATGTACGCAATTCACGGGCAGGTGACACAGTAGAGAGCTTCAGAGGGGCCGAGCGCGCTGCCAAGAGCAGCCAAAGCGCGGCCTGGCAGCTTCCGCTCCCGTTCTTCTCCCAGCCCCAGCTGAAGCTATCCCCGGTTCCATCGGCATGTCGCTGGCCACCAGCCAGGCTCCCAAGCCCGGCTTAGGGATCCCTGAGGAAGCGCCAATGCAGCGGGATGGGGATGGGGATGGGGATGGGGATGGGGATGGGGATGGGCCC